CCACATAATGTTCATTTGGGTACCCAAGAGATGCTGGCTAGAAAATACTTGATTCCACTTCTAAATAATTGTTTACAATTCATTTTATTTCCCTTTATTTTTCAATTTCTTTGTCATTAGAAGTAAAAAAGTGACCTTCAAGAGAGAGCAGTAAAGCAGGGCTGAGGGATACAGAGCTACTATCACCTTCACTCCTCTGGTGCTTGTTCCTCATCGTCCTTTTCTGTGAGTTTGGGGAAATAGATGCATTGACTCTCTATGTGCACTTTTTGCAGTTTCTTCAAAAGAGTAAGATTTTACATCTTTCAGGTGGGCTAGCACAAGTTGTGGGAAGGAACTAAATATATATCTGAGGTGGATATGTACTCAGTCAGTGTTAGGAATTACTGAAGCCCAGTAACTGGTGTGCTTTGTAGGGAAAAGTGCACAAGGAAGAATGTGACAGCAATAAATAGGCACAAGTGGAGACAAATATTCAGAACCCTTACAGGTCCCTTTTTTTCTGCTGTTTCTGGCAATTCTAGGTTTAAGCCACAGTCTCCAGGAGAAATCAGGACTTCCCTGTGCCTGACTCCACTGAATTGCTGCAGAAAGCAATTGCCTGAGAAGTTGCTGGAGTCACTTGAGTTCTGGGGATGAAAATAGGACACGTTGCTCACTTCATGTTTTGGTTTCTGGTGTTTCTCACGCAGCATTTTAAACTGATTCAGACGTATTCCCTATGCAAATCTTTAATCCCTGTTGTTAGGAAGAAAAATGGGTGTAAATGTGGTTTTGATTTTTTCCCCACCCTTTTACAGCTGTATTTACCCCTATATGTCCCATGACTGCTTCCTCCCACTTCTGTTTCCTCTGTTATAATCTTCCATCTTCCTCTTAAATTTTCCATCATCGTTAATAACTCATCTCTCTGTTAATCTTATTTTCACGTGGCAGGCTTTCTGTACTCTTCCATTTGCTTCATCCTGCTTTCTCTGTTTATTGATTCCAGTGGCTGTTTTGCTCCATCCCTTTCTTCTTTCTGCCAATGTGAGTCCTTCTCAAACGTCTGTCTGCAAAATCTGCAAACTGAGACCTTTTGCTGCCAGCTTCCAGTAAGGTGTGGGAATAGAGGAGCAAAATGAACTCAGGCTTTTAGGGCTTGCTTGTCTGTATTTTGCAGCTTTGCCTTGTCACTGCAAGCGCGTGGCTGGGGGAGGCCATCACTGAGAGGAGCATCTTTGCCTCTGTTCCGTGCGAACATCGCTCACCCCCTACGCCGAGCAGCTTGAGAGGGAGCTGAGAATCTGAGCACATGGGCTGATTTTGCAGAGGTGGGTGAGGAAAGTCTGTTCAAATAAAGGTGTGACTAATTTAGCTCTGCGGTGTCTGAAAAGCCCTAATGAAAGACTGTCGACGACAGCTTCAAAAGCCATTTGGTGAAGTGATTTCCAACCCCACCCATAGTCGTGGTACCAAAAGCAAATACAGTTGTGCTGTCAGTTTGGTGCTGCTTCCCTGTGCACCAGAGCAAAATAATTGTATTACTGTTTCTTAAGTTGCACGTAGCTTTTCATGGTATGGACTGAGGCTTCAGGATATTTTGGGTTTCTCTGCTGGGGTAAGGACAACAACCTTTTCTTAAGAGCACATGAAAGCCCAAAGATAGCTCTTGAAGAGCATACACTCAATTTTACTTCTGCTGAAAGTAAGTAATCACTGCAGGAAAGGGAGAGCACTTGGAACACATACACAGTATATTCATACCATAAGCACTGCTTATTGCTGCAAGTACTTGGTGCTCACATGTGTTCTTTCTAAAAAGAACAGAATCCTGTTTAAGACAGTCTTTCCTCCCAGGAGGTTATAGCCTAAGCAATTGAATAATTGAGCTGAGAAGGCATCTGCAGAGGTCACCCAGCCCAGCCTCCTGCTCCAAGAAGAGCTAACTTCACACATAGGTCACTTTGCTAAGGGCCACAGGGCGTTGTTCTTAGTACAAAGTATAAGAGGGAGGAATAGGATTTTGCTACTGAAATAAGGGTTCTGAAGATGGGAAAACCCTAAGGAAAATGCTGGTCTTCTGTAGGCTATGGCTTGAAAGCAGGGAATATGTTGCAATTATTAATGTTAGCCAGTCTGAGGTGGCTGATGGTGATGTGAAGTCAGTAAAACAAGTAAAAGACGGGAGCTTGGCAAGAGATGCGAGAGAAAACTCAAAAGCAGCAGACAATCTAAATGCAAGAAAGAAAGAAGTTTGTGGCTTAAGGGACACCAGAAGTAAAAAGAGAACACTGGAAATTCCAAAGGCCTGTGGGAGCAGTGGACATGTACAGCAGGAGAGGTGAGAGATGCTCACTAGCCAGGCTGAGGACTAGTCCAGCAGTGTTAACCTGAACACAGATGAATGTGGACAGGTGCTGGCAGCTCCAAAATCAGTCTGTGGGAAGCTGAGGAATGATCCTTGTGAGCTCAACAGCTCAGCCTTTCCTGGCAGAGGTTTGCTTACCCTCTTCTTAAAGGAATTAAGGACCAAACAGAATAGTAAGTTACAGCAAGTGTCCTGCAGGACGGGATACCTCTTTATTCCTGCACTGTTAGCAGCAAGTCTCCTGACAAACGTGATGCTTCTGATGCTTGTTTTTTTCTTGCAGTGTGGCTTTATGAAGGAAACCAGCACCCTCACACTTATAGTAGAGCTGCTGTGGTCATCCCAAGCAGTACAAACATTCATTTGGAGTGTGCAAAATAGCAGCTAACCAGGAAGCCTAGAAATCTAGAAAGCATTTTTGCATTGCTGCAAAGTACTGCCTGAGTTACTGTGAGGGATTTGATGCAATCTGTTGCCAGAGATTTGAAACTCAACTGGATGGAGCATGGACTGGATCATCTAGCAGCCTCTGCAAAATATGACACTGGTTCACACCCCAGTAGAGATGGTCCCAGGTCCAAATTCATGCTCTGAAGGACCTCATATTGGGTAAGGCAGCAAATGAGATGGCAGTAGGGGGAATATGAATTGCACAAGCCAAATCTTAACCCTGGCTCTCTCTCTGTGTACCTTGTAGTAGGAATGTAACAAATTTTCACTGACTACTTGAATCTACTAAACAACATAACCACCAAATCAGACCCTGCAAGACAATTTACAGATGAGTTGCCAGCTGAGGGTATGGCACAGAGGTTGTGAGTGGGGGGTTAGCAAGGGGAGCTCTTTAAACAGTTGTGAGGAATATCCATGAAATCTTGGTCTGTTCCTCGTCTGTGCAACAAGCACAGGATCAAGGCCCCTGGGCACAGCCCTGTGGCCGTGGGGTCCCAGAGGTTGTGGTGTCCCCAGCCCTGCACAAAGACAGTGTCTGAAATAATGGGAAATGTGGCATAAGCAGCCCATGGGAGAAGGGCATATGGAAATACAGCAGGAGACATTTTCTAATCATAGAGGCAACCAACAATATTAAAAAAGACCATAAAGCAGAGATTTGCAAGAATATGTAGCTTAAAAATTCGGCATGAATTGGCAGTGGGGTCCATGACTAATCACAGAGGTCCATTGTATGATCGAGTTTAAACTCTTGTTTAATGAAAGTACTTCTCTGAATAAGTCTCATTGAAAGTACAGTAAATATCTCTGAATAAAATGTCCAGCCTTAATATACAACATTTTAAATGACAGAGAAATCACCCCAACCTTTGGTAAACAGTTTGAACACATAATCACGCTCTCTGTTTGAAACTGTCATAGGATTTCTAGCACAAATTAATCGGGGTGGAGTGTCTAATTGCTGGTAACTGGATCTGTTACAATGTTGTGTGCCAAACTGGCAAGCTCTTATTATCATATTTCTGCTTGATTAAGCGTTTGCAGGAAAGGAGTTGTGATTTCCCCCACTGAGGGTCCACAGCGGCTCTGGGGCCAGCCCGTGCTCCAGGGACAGTGTGGGTGTGGAAACACTTGGGAGATGGAGTCCCCGTGTGCTTCTGCTGCCAAGCTGGGGTGGGGGAAGCTTGTCCTCAGCAGGCTGTGGTGGCTTTTGGCACTGGGGGCATTGTTGCTGGCTCTTGGCCTTGGGCTGGTCCCCCTGAGCTCCGTGGAGTCAGAGGCTGCCATGGGATAGCGACTCTGGCTGGCCGGGTACTGCCTGCCTCAGGGACACCCACAGCAGCAATTCAGGAACCTGTTTAGCAGAGTTAAGTTTGACAGCAAAGTTAAGTGGAAGCTCTGGGAGGTTGGATCTGTATTTCCTGAAGTGGTTTCCCAAAACCACTTTAGGTATCCCAAGCTCAGTCTCTGTTACACTACAAACGTGCCAAACAAAAGGGACTTGTTTCAGAAATACATGATAGCTGTGTTTAAAAGGTTATTTAACCAGGCATCCACTATGTGGCCAGTTAGAGTCCTCACACTTCTGGAAATCACCAGGGCTGTCTTTGGCTATCCTTGCTGTACTTGCTGTTCCTTTCTCCCTGATGGGGACAATGTGGACGCTGCTAAACCCTATGACTTTCCCCTCTGTTGTTTTCTGCAGCTGGCCTGCAGCTCTTTGGCCTGATCCTCCTGTCCCTAAGTGAGGAATATGTATTTTTCAGTAAACCTCTCTCCCTTCCCCTTGGGACTGTGTTGAGCATTCCGTAATTAAGGTGACAGGGATAACGTCTAATGACTCATTTACTGACATCCTTTAAAAAGGGAACTCTGACTTTGTCCCTTCTTCTCCTGGGTTTCTTTCCCTCCTTCCCTTCCGCTAAAGCTGATGAGAAACCCTGAGCTATCCTACAGATTAAATGGCAGCTATGCCGCTTGCTTCTCAGCTCACCATTTTTTGACTGTTGACTATTTTCTTTATTTTAAGGGTGCATTTAAGAAGAGAGGACTCTTTTTCCCCTTTGTTTTCCTTTTCCCCCCAGTCTTTTTACTTTTTTTTTGAGCAGACCTGAGCTGTGCTGCTCCCTGATCGCTCCTGTTCCCCGTGCTGTGGAAATGAAACGTCTCTCAGTTGAGCACAACACGTTTGCTGCAGTGCCCCAAGGTGTCTATAAAACAGGTGGCCTCCTCTCGGGTCGCTCTCCTTTATTGGTGTTATTGCAGAGTCCCGTGCTATGGCAACCACAGGAGCTGCACCCTCTGGAGCTGGATGGGGAGGAGGGATGGAGGGACCAGCCCTGCTGCACCAGCGCCCTGCCAGCGCGGGTGTTTATCCAGCCCTGCCGTGACTCACGGGGGCCATGCTCCACCAAAGCCACCTCCAGCAGCCTCCCCATGAATCACAGCAGCCTGAGAGGACTTGCAGCAATTCCTGGGCCACCAGAAGGATGATCTCATCGCCTGCTGAGTGGAATAAGGATAAAGTCACGTGGAACTCTGCTCCCGGAGCCAGGAACATGGCATCCCAGCAAAGAGCATTCAGGTGACCTAATCGGGCATGTGATTCAGCGTTACAGGACCAAACAGGGCAAAGATCCTTCTCACAGGGAAGGAAGGAAGGAAGGTACTGCAATATACAAAGAATTCATTTGAGGTGACTTTCATAATGAAACTTGTAAGGCAGGAAGGAATGATATGGCACAGGGTCTACAAAGGACTTGGCTTTAAGCAATTCTCTTTGTATTGACTGGTTTTGTCTCCTTTTTTGATTCTCCAAGTGGTATTGCCTATTCCAAGTGATCACAACATGAAGTCTGATGATGTAATCTTTGCACACTGTGTGCAGCCCATGGAGCTGAGTTACTGTGATACTGGTTCAAACTCACTTGCCAAACCCAGCTGAAGGATTTAGTCAAGCTTTTCTCTAGCTGAAATAAAGTGCTTTTGCCTCTTCTAAAAAATTAATTTGTGGCAGCTTTCCATTCCAATTGGATTTATTGTTATTTCTTAGAAATTGCTGATTTCTGAGAAGGAATCAAGTGGTCTTTTCTGATTTTAAATATAAAAGATAATAACCCTTTGCTCCTCCTTGCAAAGGGAGGGGATTTGCAAATCTTTAAATGCTATGAAAAGTGCTAGCTATTTTAAATGCATGGACTTCTAAAATCAAAACCAATGCAGAAAATTGGTAAGCTTTTTAAAATCATCTTGAAATTGTAAAAAGGCTGATAATTTTACAAAAATTTAAAATCAACTCTTTAAGAAAGGCTGGGGGGTGGATTTGATGAAGATGGAATTTGCATCTATGACAATGAGGCAGCTCAAAGCTGCTTCTTGCCTCTATTCCTGTCAGCTGGAGTTCAGATTTCAGGAGAAAGTAAAGGAAATTTATTCCCAGAGATCCCTGGGGTTTCAAGGTGCCACATCTGCTGGCTCCAAAGCATGTGTGGGCTGCCAGTGGGCTGCAGCAAGGAACAGTCAGCAGGGCTCAACTCCTGCACATATTTGCTCCTTGAACTGTGAGTGTTGGCCCTCATCCCTCTTCCTGGGCAAGGCATGCCCACGTGTTGGTGCTAATTGGATAGTGCTGACAATCCCCAAAGTAATATTTTGGCAGCTGCTTTCCATTCCTTGACTCTGTTAGGTGTATGTTGGTGGCTAACCACAGGTAACAGCACGGGTTAGATAATGAAATCGTTGGGGTAAGCACTGATAGCACTGAAGAAAATGATCCCAGAAGGGACTCCCTCAGTGTAGACCATCAAACAGCACCACCCAACTCACTTCCGATAATTTTCCCTTCACCAGGCCTGATGCTGAAGTGTCACAGAAAAGCCTTGTGAAAATCTCAGCTAAGGATAAATGTGGTGGTTCTCAGCAGCAGGTGGGTCCAATGGTATCAAGCACCACAGCTGAAATACTTGTGAAAATTGGCCTGCTGTGTTTTCCTCTTCTGATCAGCTTCTGGTATCAACATTTGTTGACCTCAGAGCAGCCTGATTGCTTAGCTGGTGAAAGGGATGAGCTGCTACACAAGAACAAAGAAGCCTGGGGGATGCACTGTGTGACCTGGGAAGCTCTCTAATGATTTTGTAGGCAAGATGAAAGCTGTCAGGTAAAAGGGGCTTTACCTTTCCTAGGAGAGCTACTTTGCTGGGGAAGGCTGCAACAGAGCATGGCCCAAGCTAGAGCTGGAGCACCAAGGGCGTGATTTGCACGGCACCTGTGAATACCAGCTCTCTGTTCTGGCTTGCAGGGTTTTAAGGAAGTGAGCTGCAAATGTGATGACATCAGGCAGCTAACATCAAATTCAGGCTTGGTGAGCTCTGAACGTGCCTGCTCCATGGAGGTGCATGTGGAGCCTTTTGAAAGGAATTTCCTTAGCTGCTGTTCTCGCTCTTTTGAGTCATAACCGCAGTGTGCGTGGTGCTGCCCAAGTGCAGCAAATGACACGAGGCTCACACTTTGGAAGAGGTGTCTCAACAGCTTTCCCTGCAGCATCTTGGGTAATCTTGAAAATGCTGATATTTTTCTTTAAAATGTCAGAGTGTGTGTGCATGAGAAGGCGTGTGGGGTAGTTGCTGCTTTCCACAACTCACTCCTATGGGGACTGGAAGGGTGACACTGGCAGCTGGTTCCCCGAGGTGGTTCCTGCTCTCTGAAAGCTTTAGAGGTGAGAAGGTGGGCAAAGGACCTAAAATTTTTGAACTGTGGCTATAAATGGAAGGGGGGATGGTTTGAGATGTTCTCCACTGAAGTGGCTGAAAAGCCAAAGTGGTTGGAAATGTTCTGAGCACAGAGGAAACAAATTGTTTATGATCCCGCAGCTCTCTCAGGCCTGCTCTATGCACAAATATGGCCAAAAATGATTTTTGAAGAGCTACACAGGGCTGGGGAAAGACCAAGAAGCAAGATCTCTTGGTCGATTGCCTGGATTGCTGGAGGGGAAAATGAGCCCCAGAGCCTCATGCCAGGGAGCAAATCCCGTGGGGAGGGGATGCTCCATGGTGAGTGTAGGCAGACAGAGGTGAAGCACAGTGCCCTGATATTCAGCAGTGACCAAGCCAAGGCCACAGTCCTGCCAGGTGTAGGAGGCAGTGTAGCTCCCACCTCTGCCTTCCAGCCTCCCCACAGAGGAGCACATGGCTGAGCACAGTGGGGGCCTTGGACCTCCAGGAAACTTTTTGCCAGCGCCCCCAAATCAATCCTTGTGCTCAGCTCTGCAAGCTGGATGCAGGCACCTTGTTTTCATGGATGAGAAAGCTCAGTGTGCCCCAAATATTTCTTTTTTCCCCTGTCTTTTATCAGTTTATTCATCATAATAGGATTATGCTTGTGTTCCTCTTGGCTGGGTCCCAGAGGTGCCTTGTATCCGCTAGGAACAGTCAGCAGCCCCAGCCAAGCTGTGTTGTTTCAGGATGGCCAGCTGGAGCTGTGTGAATGGCACACCCTGCAGTTAGCTGTGTCACTGCAGGACTCCTTGCTGCCAGATGATGTCTTAATTGCTTGAGATTGCAGCATAGCCCAGATTGGGAACTGAGGGTTTTCTTTTGGGATGCACCTGGATCTAACTAGTGAAATGCACCATGAGGTGTCCAGAGTACGAGGCAGAGGTCTACACAAACTACTTTATCTAAAGGTACTTTGGATGGAGGAAATGTGTGTGGATATGGTATGTTATAGAAAATACACTCAAGACTCCCTCCTTTCTTTAGACTGTTTTACATCACAGACCTATGCTGCTTTTCTGGCAGTTTTTGAGGAGTAGAATCCTGATGCTTCCTAGTGAAGAATCTGGCTCTACTGCCACATGTTGGAAACAAAACTTTGCTATTTAATGTTTTTTTTAAGAGAGAAAGAAGGAGGAACATGGTGGGAAGAGCATAGCGGATGAGGTGAGAGAGACAAGAGGAGCCAAAGGCATCAACAGGTAGTGACCAAGAGGTGTGAAATGTCAGCAGGTAGGAGCAGGTGCCCAGTGTGATTCCTTGAAGAAGAAGCTGCTCCAGGAGCAGTCGGGTTGAGGCATGAACCATGTAAGTGGTGAGTCGTTCATCATTACTCAGGGGAGCGAGACAAATGAGAAATCAATTGAACATCAAACCATTGTTTCTGATTGCCTATGTCAAAAAGAAATGATTCATTGAGTGCTTTAATTGATTCATACACATGGCTAGGAGCTGCAGTCTTGATTTACAGATCTTTTCACCAGTCAGGCTGGAAAGTCTTGCTCCCACTCACTTTATTTGTGCAACAAACATCCTTTTCTCTTGGCCAACCCGCTTACAAACTTTTTTCTCTCTCTGATTGTTTACTTTGCCTTTAAGAGGCTGGTGATTCCTCTCACTTATATGGTGCTTTTTAATTCTTTTTTTTAATTATCAGAGGAGCCTGGAAGGGATGGGGATGGCTGTGCATAAACCACTGGGCTCTGTGCCCAGCAGGGCAAGCAGATGACCCCATCTTCAGAGAGCTGCAGTCTACAGTATACCATAGATTTATAGTGTCCACTGCCAAATAAGTGGGAAAGAGAACATTTGGTAACTTAAAAGCCTTTTGTAACTCCTTGTGAGATATACTGTGGAGTACTTTGTGTCTGGCAATCTGTATGCCGTCTGTAGACAGCAGCAGCTGCTCCAGGGGCTGAGGAGGCTGTGCCCTATCCCTGCTGCTGTCGCTGTTATCCACATGCCTGAGGAGGAGGTGTTGAAGATCTGCCTCTGCTTTGCCACAGCAGCTGATAAGTCGTCAAAACAGAAGGGAAACAGGAGGTGTTTGCTGTAGGTGAGGGGAAGGAATGGTGGGGGAGAGGCGTCCTGGCTTGTGTAACCAGGGGTGGTACCATGGTGGGGAGAGGTGTTGGGACAGCTGCAGGGACAGGGAGGTGCTGCCTAGCTGGTTCAGGAGAGCAGGCCTCTGGCAGACCTGACTGGAGGGAGCACAAGTGGAGAAAGGAGGGGAAAAGAAATTTGACAGTTATCTCAGAGCTTATCAGGCAGCTAAAGGCAGAGGCAGCTTCCCAATAGCGCTGTGTGCCCCCAGCCATGCAAAGGCAAATGCCCTGTCTGGCCCTTCACCAGCCCAGCCCTGTCGTGGCTGGATTCTGTTGGGCTGCATGGCTCTGCCTGCTGTGTGCCCTGAGGTCAGGCTGTGGGGAAGCAGATTTATCTGGGAAGAGCCTTCTCCAGCCAAAAACACCATAATGCCACCAAGCTCCTCATGGCGACCACAACTGAGATGGCTACCAATAAAGAGGGCAAGAGAAAACCAACAAGAAGAGAAAAAACCCCAAACAGTGGCAAGCACTTGCAATTTTTTTGCAAATTGAAAATTTGCAAAAGTTAGGACTCTTCTATTTTCACCAAATAGAAGAGTCATAACTTAGCTGCCTAGGGGCTGATTAAGAATGGAACCCAATAAGTTGCTCACAGGAGTTGCTATGAGATGAACTGGATTTATCTGTCTGAGAAACAGTGCTTTTCACCAGATTGTTTTTCAGTTCATTAACACTTTTTTAAACACTTTTTAAAAAAACACTTCTAAAAAATATAGTGAACACTTTTTTCGCTCAGCTCTTTGCTCTAGTGCTGGGGCTGGCAGGGAGAGAGAGACAGCCCAGGAGTTGGGAGCTGCAGGGTGGGCAGGAGCTGCTTTTTTTCTGTTGCTGCACTTCACACCAAGGCTATGGGGCTTTGGCTGGCAGACCTGCATCAGCCTGGTGACAAGGGTCTCCAGCTCTGGACCCACAGATTTGATCAAATGTCTTGGCTATATCTGTTTGGCAGTGGAACAGCTACAGTGCTGCTACATGTGTTTGTAGGGTTTTGGGTTTTTGCATTGAAATGGAAAGAGTTCATGTTCTGTGTCTGCTCAAAGGAGCCCACACAAGTGAGAATAAATCTATAAACAGCTCCTGGTCTGTGCCCAAGCTGTCTCTGGAGCTTGGAGGCCTGAGTCTCCCACTGCCCAACAGTGTAGCATGAGTGGGTTATTTGCCTTTGTGTTCCAGACAGAAAAGCCTGGTTTCCGCAATATTTTTGAATTTTGAAAGCCTGTAAGGGAAGGATCTGAGTCCTTTGACCTGTCCAGAGAAGCTGAGCAGGGAGGCACTGGTGGCACAGCCCCTGTGTTGACTGTCAGGAGCTGAGGTGACAGAGTGAGCTCTGCTGAAGCTGGGTCTCTTGTTCCACTCTTTGATGTGTAACTTCCTTCTTTCAGCAATGATTCAGTGAAGACAACTTGGGTTGGGTATGGTGAGGGAGGGCAGGATTAAAGAGTGGGAACTTTGGCATTGAAATAGGGTGTTCTGGGGAGGTAGGTAGCTTGGAAGTACAGAAAATGCAGCTTGTGGTGACAAGAAAGGAAAAAAGAAAGATGCTAAGAATGTTGCTGGGCTAATAACCACTGTGATCATATAGTCAGAGACAGACTAACACCTGGAAGGATGCTGGTGTGCTTGTGCTGCCTGTTACTTCTTTTCTTGTTACTGGTTAAAAGAGAGCAATGTAAAACAAATCTGGGGAGGATTCAGTGTTCCCCTTCCATGAGCCATAGATTTGCAGGGAAGTGTCTCTGTAAGCCTTGCTTCAGTCCTGGTTCTGCAAAGAGGTTGCAGGAACTAATTATTCATGATTTTATCTTGCTACCTGAAATACATAAATAGCCTAAAGGTTCCTCTGATGGACTTCTTCCAGCTCTTTGATGTGCCAAAGATAATTTCTGTACATACTCCCTCAACCTGTCCCCACTCCCTACCTAAAGTTTAATGTTTCTACTTGTTATGTTTACCTGTCTGTACTAGACTGTAAGGTCTCCCAGGCAGGGACCTTGCTGTCTTTCATGTTGAAGTACCTTGAAGGAGCTGTAACTTCAACAGCTATAAAATGTGATATAAATTGTTAAAGCAATGTCAACTAACACAACTCTTTGGCCTTTTCTGCACTAGGCAACTTTTCCACAGGGCTGCCAGCTGTTCCTGACACCAGGCTGGCATGATTTGTGCCAGCAGCACCAGCAGCTCATCCCCAAGAGGAAGCCACCATCCTGAAAACACGCAGTGCCCTGAAGTCTGTTACAACAAGTGGGCTGATGTAGCCTGTGCCCACTTGGAGTCAGGCTCCTGATGAGGTATCAGCAGTGACAAGGCTTTTTGGAAAGCCTCCACCTGAGAGGAATCATCCATGCCCCCACGGGTTTAAAAACTATCTCCCGGAACTTCTAAAAACTCGAAAAAATCCTCCCAGTGCTCTGGATTTAAGTTCCCTTATGTGAGAGTGCACCAATGAAAGCAAACAGATGCATCCCTGCCTACAGGAGGTAAGGCAAGAAACAGGCAGAGCCCAGCAACACACAGTGCCCTGCCCCAGCTCCTGCATGGCACTGGTGCTTCCCTGGGACTGGATCCCCATCACAGCATTTCTGAGAGCCTGCCCCTTGCTCTCAAAGTCCACAGAGCACTTGCAGATGGGTCTCTCTCACCTTCCTCTCTTTGGAGGTGGTTTCTTTGAGCAGCCTGGGATGTGTCAGGGAGAGACCTTGTTTTTATAACCTCCTGTTATGGCTGGAGGTGATGCCTCTGTGGTGACAGCTGGGAAGCAGGCTTTGATCTGGTGCATCAATGCCTCCTCTGGGAATTCAAGCCTCTGAGCCTTACTTGCCCTGGGCAATCATTAGGAGGATTTCCCCTAAATAAAGAGCCATCAAACCTTATCAGCTGTCTTGCTCTGCCTGTGTCACTGCTCTTTGAAGACAGCATCTGCCACAGAGAGGTCAGCCAGAGCAATCTCTGGGTAAAAGTCCAGTGTGCACACCAAAGCAGTACAAAACTGGAGGGACATGTCCTGGCATTAGTTCAGCCCCACAGCATCACAGCAGGTCAGGGACTAGCAGCCATTGGGCTGGGAGCCCAAGTCCCTGTTAACTCCCTGCCAAGAACATGGCCTTTCAGGCCTCCCTTCAGTTTGCAGTAGGTGTGGGCAGGATGCCATCAGCAGGGTCTCACCAGCATCAGGTTCATTCCACTCACCTAGGAAAAGACTGCACAGGGCCTACTGAGCCCTGGCAAGGGGGAAAGTTGGGCTGAGGCTGCTGGCAAGCCTACAAGGTGTCCCTGGCACCCACCAATAACAGCCTGAGGCCAGGCTATCTTGCTGCAGTGGTGGGGAAAAAGCAGGGCTTGCTTTTGGGTTTTGCAGCCGTCATCACTGCAGCATCCTAGAAATGAGCAGGGGCTGGTGGAGCAGCATGGTCAGGATTAGGGATGGGAAATCGAGACATCCAAGTTCTGCTTCTGGCTTTACTACATGCCCTTACTTTTGCCTAACTGTGAAAATGTTCATAATGCCTTCATGTTTTTCTTGCCAGTTTGGCTTCTGAAAGATTGACCATGACATTTGGAGGTAAACTGCAGGGATAAAAGCTGTTGCCCATACAGGTTGTTTTTCTTCTCTAGAGAAGCTTATTTCCAAAGACAGGGGAGTGGTGATGCTAAAGGCCCTGTAAACTGGTTCACGTGGGGAGCTGCAGCCCAGCCTGGCTCGGAGCTGGCTGTACATGAGACCTCAGAAGTGCCTGTAGTTTTGTACTTCTTTCACACATCTGCTCCTGCAGACTGCTCAAAGCTCTTCCATATTTCTTTCAATCAGAGCTATTCTTTCACTGACCCAAGCCTGCTATTCACTGATGAATTGGGTGCTGTTCACTGCAGCTTGAAATACTATTTTGCTACTTGTAATGCTTCCCATTCATTTGCTGTGGTGATTGGATTCATAACAGCAGAGATGCAGCTTTCATTGATACTTGATGCAGCAGCAATACCCTCAGCAAAGGCTTTTTTGTACATAGGCTCCAAACCTTTCAACCACGCTATCATAGAAAGCTATAATGTCCCTTTTCTGCAATGCCCCGAACCACCTGCAGCCCCTGAAAGAGGACATTGTTTCCCCAGCTGACCAAACAACATGGGCAGTGTCTGTGCTGGTTGCAAGGGAGGGCTCTGGGTAATCTCTTTTTGCCCTGCCCCAATCCCTTACCCTCTGCATGCCCCCATCCTGTTTGAGGCTGAATTTCAGCCCCCACTGCTGTCTAAAACTAAGTGGAAGAACGTTTGCAGGGTGAGTTATTTTAGTTGCTGAATGAACCTCCTGATACTCTTCTCCCAGGTGGGGCTGGTGATCCCACTAGGAGGGATTCCTGGATGCTGGGGCTTCGCATGATCAGACACGGTTTTCTTCTTGCCTCAAAGTGACCACTGGGGAAGTAGGGGTGTTTTTCTTTCTCTTTTTCTTTTCTATTCTCCAAAAAAAGCACTCATGTGGGGAGAAGATGCTGCACTACCTTTTGCTCAGAGAGAAGGAGTCTGACAGCTTAGCACTGTTCTGAGACAGGAAAATTACTCTGTCTAGTGAATATTCTAAAGAGATGAAGTAACAGGGTGCAATCAAAATCCCCTGTTTAAAAGAAGAGCTGTCTCACTCCTGTTAAGCCAACGATTTAATTGTTTCACTCATCTTTTGCAGAATAACTTCAGAGAAGGAATGGTGAAAATGTCTGTAAATGCTTTTTGATAAAGGAAAGGAAGATTCGGACTGTAATCAATGTTGGCAAGCAGAGGGAAAAAATCTCTGCCTCAACAGATAAGTGGTGGTTTATTATGGGCATATCCTTGCCTGTTTCAGTGAGTGGAAAAAGGAGTTGTCACCTGTAGCTCAGCGCTGTCAAGTGACACCCAGCAGCAACACGGTTGCCATTGGCAGGGTGTGATACCAGCCCTTGTTTGTTTTGGATAAACAGAGTTATGTTTTGAAGGGAATAGCAACGCTGTTTAAGAAAAACAGAGTACTTAAAGAAAAACGGATTGTACACTGAGCTAGTAAAATGCCAAGAGATGGCAAAGATAATCTCTGAGCTGGCCCACTGCAGCCCCCTGGGAGTTGTAGTGCCTGGAGAAGTGGTTGGTGAGTTGTTATCCCAATAGATGCAAAGAAGTGTGCAGAGTGCTTTGAATCATAGCTTTTTCTCTGCCCCATATTTTGTCTTTCTTCCTCATGGATGTCTTGGAGGGGATGGAACACTGGAATCACCTCTGCATCTCAGGAGCAAGAGGAAGTAATCTCAAGTGTCGGGCTCTTGCAAACATTCCCCCTCTCCTTTCAAAACCTGTGTCTATATTTGTGTCCTGTCCAGTTTCCAACAACTGCTGACACAAAGTGCAAGCCTGCTCTGTCTGTGGCGTGCAGGGCTTGGGGAGAGGGGCTCTGGGGAACTGGGGATCCAGCAGCATTGTCCTCAGGAAGGGCTCCTGCAGGCAGGCAGGGACAAGGCCATCCTGGGAGTCCCAGACACAGTTCCTACTAAAGCCCTGCAAAAAAATACCTGGCACAAGAATAGCTTGCTGGGATTCCCCTTCCTGCTATTTCCCTCGAGGCCTTAGCCACTTGTTTATCTTGTGGGAGAAGTCCACAGCTACAGTTAACTTTGCATATTTGATCCTGTGTGAGGTAATTTCTTCATCCTATCTGCAATATTTCTATTGTAAGCGCCTATAAACGTTTCATTGAGGTGACACAATTGCTCAATGGACATATTACCTCTATTGTCCCTGTGATCACAAATACAAATGTTGTGGCAGTCACCTCTTGTTTGCAGACTTAGTGACAGAGGCACCAAGAAGCAAATGCCAGAGCTGGCTGTGGCTGCTACTTTGGAGCTGATCTCTGCAGAAGCCCTGGAAGCCAGGCATGGTGCTACCACCTTTCCACCAAACACAGGGTCAGTGATGAATGCCTCCAGGACATCTGCTGAGAGGGCTGCAGTCAGATTTGAAGCACAACCCACAGCAGCAAATATGATTTTTTTAAAGGATGCAGGGCACAGTGCCTTTTATTGAGCAACCTCGGGATTGTGGGCGTGTGGCACTCTTGAAGATCAGGCTGTACTTGAATGGGAGAAGGCAGAGAGATGTATGACAGGGATGATCAGAGATGCACAATGCTATCTGTATGAAAAGAGACTGAATGTCAGATTTAGCCTAGAAAAGGGAGGACTCAGGGCTGTGACAGGTCTGCAACGTGATGAACAGCAGGAGGAATGGCTGCAGTCGCTGTAAGGCAAGAACCAAGGGATGCTAAATTAAATCATCAAGCAGATATTTTTTAAGGCATGGAGAAGGAAGTCTTTTTTCACTCAACCATAATTAATTGGTGGAACTCGTTGCCATAGGATGCTTCAGGTGCTGAAACTATACATTGGTTCAAAAAGCAATTAGGCAAATTAATGGGAAAGCAGGCTATGGAGGCCTGTTAGAGCTGCTGCTGCTGCAGATGCTGCCTGTGGCCTGGGAAGTCCCAGGACTGCCTAGTGCTGGGATTTGGAGAGTTGCATCAGGCTCACTGCACTCTTCCCTGACAACCCCTATGGGCCAGAGCTGCAGAACAGCTCTAGTTTGTCTTCTTTTCCCAGGGCACACCATGCCAGACTGGAAATACTCCCTCTGTAAGGATTTTTCTCAAATGTAAAAATCAAAGGACTTCTGAATATCACAGTGGGATACTGGGAGGGAGGGAGGAGAGCTTGGCAGCTCTCAATTGTCTGAAATGCATTACTGTGGGAGCTGTGTCTTTGCCTTTGTCCCCCTCCCTGACTTTCATGCTGGCAGAGTGTTTCCTTACCAAGCCAGCAGTGCGGGTACCAACACAGAAGATGCTGTGAGAGGAGCAGGACACAGAGAGAAGATGGGATCAACTTAGCTGCTGTAGCTGCACATTTAGCTTCACTTCCATACACCTGGACACATTGTCCTTCACTCCAGCACACTCTGGTTAATTGTGGCATGTGAGATGCTACTAGATGCAGGTGTAACATGAAGATATTGCAGGGGAACAGCTCCCACATACATACAGATGGAGAAAGAGGTGCAGTCTGCAGACTGTGATTAAAGATCAGTGCATTTACACTTTAAATGCTTCAGTACCCAGTCAGTTTAGATAGCTTAACCTCTGAGAATTAGCTTAATCAGACAGAAATAGAAGCTGCACAAAGAAAGCTCTATAAAACCTCAGGGCTCTAGGTACAGGAGCTCCAACCTTGACTTAATTTTTGTTTAATGCAGCTGTTTGCCAGGCACTTTTCAGACAAGCATATGAAGAATTGGAAAGAGATTTAATGTGCGAAGATATGTAAAAGAAGACTTGTGATTTGTTTATTACATGAAAGAACACAGACCTTAGGATAAAAGGGTATAAAATAAATGCCATGGGAACCCAAACAGCTGCACTTTTTTCTTGGCATAGAGAGAAGTAAAACACAGATTGTGTCAGGTTGCCTCATCTGAACCTGCCTGCTTGGGTTAAGTGATGCTAACATTGCCCTAGGTCTGCCCTACCCAAAAGTCTCTGCTGCTTTGCAAGGAGGGTTGGGGTGGGCTCTTGTATGCAGCCATCCAGACCCTCTGTGCTGCATGGAGGACATAGGAGACCTGATGG